CCCCCAAAAGAAGCTCCAGACCCATTATCAACCCCTCCCTATCCTCCCTCACCCAGCCCCTGGTACCCCCTAATCTGCCTTCTATCTCTATGGATTTGCTTATTCTAGACATTGCATAGAAATAGAATCATATAAATGTGACCTTTGCTATCCAGCTTCTTTCACTGAGCATGATTGTTGTTTCAAGGTTCATCTGTGTTGGAAGATGAATCAGTCCTTCATTACTTCTTATGGATGACTAAGAATTCCATTGTATGCATACACCACAATTTCTCTTTATGTTTTTTTGAGGCAGGTATGTGCCACCATGTCTGACCTAAAGTGTACTTTCATTGTACACTTAAAAGTGATGAGTTTCAGCTGGGCATGGTGGCACGTGCCTTTAATTCCAGCACTTGGGAGGCAGAGGCAGGTGGATCTCTGTGAGTTCGAGGCCAGCCTGGTCTACATAGTGAGTTCCAGGCCAGCTGGGGCTACAGGAAGACCCTGTCTCAAAAAAAAAGTGATGAGTTTCATAAAGACATTTTTATTCAAGTAAGTATATAATGTACCAGATTTACCACCTCCTGTTACAGTCTCCTGTTCTCTCCCCTACTAATCTCCTTTTTCTCATGCAGTGTCCCTTCTATGTTATATCTGAATGTATTTTTTCTAGGATCCACAAATAAGAGAAAATAAGGTATTTGTCTTTCTGAATCCAATGTATTTTGCTTAATATGATGATCTCCAGTTGCAAACATTTGCTAGCAAATGACATAGTTTTGTTCTTTATGGCTGAATAAAATTCCATTGTATATATATACCACATTTTTATTTTCCATTCATCTGTTAATTAAGATAGGTTCCATTTCATAGCGATTGTGAATAGTGTAGTAATAGACATGAATGTCCATATATCTCTCTGGTAGGACTTAGAGTCCTTTGGGTTTATGCCCAGGAGTGGTACAGATGAGTTATTATGGGAGTTCTATTTTTAGTTTTTTTGAGAAACCTCCACACTGATTGACATAGCAGCTATACCAGTTTGCACTTTCATCAGCAGTGTGTAAGGTTCATCTTTCCTCAGATCCTTCCAGCATTCTTTGTCATTTGTATTTTTTATCTTTGAGGAGGGGTTTAGGGTGTTGAGACAGGGTCTCACTATGTAGACTAGGCTGGCCTGGAACTCACAGAGATACACCTGCCTCTGCCTCCCAAGTGCTAGGATTAAAGGCATGTGCCGCCATACCCTACTTATCATTTGTTTTCTTAATGATAGCTATTCTGACTAGGGTGAGATGAAATCTTACTATAGTTTTGATTTGCATTTCCCTGATGGGTAAGGATGAGATGAAATCTCAGTATAGGTTTGATTTGCATTTTCCTGCATGTATGTAAGTGTGCCTGTCTCCTTCAGTACCCAAAGAGGTCAGAAGAGGGCATTGGATCCCCTGGAACTGGAGTTACAGTTGATAGCCACCATGTGCATACTGGGAATCGAACCCAGGTCCTCTACAAGAGCAGCCAGTGCTCTTAACTGCTGAGCCAACTCTCCAGCCCTCAACATTTTTTTTTGGTCTTTTTGAGACAGGATCTTCCTGTAGCCCCAGCTTGTCTGGAACTCACTATGTAGACCAGGCTGGCCTCAAACTCACAGAGCTCCGCCTGCCTCTGCCTCCCAAGTGCTAGGACTACAGGCATGCACCACCATGCTCGGCCTCAACATTTTTCTTTATTTTTGCATGTGATGGGGAGGTATGTGCCATGCATGTGTAGGTCAGAGGACAACTTTGTGGAGTCAATTCTCTCCTTCCACCTTTACATGGGTTCTGGGGATCGAACTCAAGTCATCAGGCTTACACAGCAAGCAGTTTCTCTGCTGAGCCATCTCGTTGACCCAGTATGTTCAACATTTTTCCATATATTTATTGATCATTTGTACTTCATCTTTTGAGAACTACTCTGTTCATTGCATTTGCCCATTTGTTGATTAGATTATTTGATTTTTTTGCTATTTATTTATTTTTGGTCTTTTTGAGACAGGGTCTCCCTGTAACCCCAGCTAGCCTAGAATTTACTATGTAGACCAGACTGGCCTCAGTCTCACAGAGATCCTCCTACCTCTGCCTCCTGAGTGTTGGGATTAAAGGTGTGTAATCTAGTACCCAGAATTTTTTTTCAAAGATGATCTCATGTACCTAAGGTTGGCCTAGAATTCATTATGTTGCCAAACATGATGTTGACCTTCTGATCCTCCTGCTTCCACCTCCCAAGTGCTGGGATTACAAGAGTGCACTCCCTCACCAAGCTACATAATGGTCTTTCTTTGATCTATTTTGAGTTGATTTTGTGTAGGATGAGCGATAGAGATCTAGTTTTGTTCTTCTACAACATATACCACTATGTCTATCTGTTTATCCATTGGTAGGCATGCTGGTTGTGTCTGCCTTTTGGCTGTTATGAATAGCACTGCTGTGAGCATTCCACACAAGCTTCTATGTGGGCTCATGTATTTGTTTCTCCTGACTGTATAGGTAGGAAAGGAATTCCTGGGTCCTCTGGTAACTCACTATTTAACTTTGTGAGGAACCACCAGGTAGTTTTCCATGGCAACACACAGCTTACCATTTTATCTTCTCCCAGCCATGGATGAGGCCCCACTTCTCACCTGGCCAGTGTCTGCTCTTATCTCTCTTTGCTCAAGCTATCCTTGGTGCTGTAGATTTCCATTTCCTTAATGATTAATCATTTCAAACATCTTTTTGGAAACTTACTGCTCTTTTCTTTGTTTTTTCCTTTGTTTTTATATTTTGGCCTGGAACTCGCTATGTAGACCAGACTGGCCCTTGATCTCAGGAATCCTCCTGCCTCTGCCTTCTGGGTGCTGAGATTAAAGGTGTGTGCTACCATACCCAGCTTTTTATTATTTTTTAAAATATTTTTTATTTAAATTTTTATGTGTATGAATGTTTTTGTCTGCAAGTATATAAGTACACTGTGTGTGTGCAATGCCCACAGAGGCCAGAAGAGAGCATCAGATCCCCTGGAACTGTAGTTATAGACACTAGTGAGCTACCATATGGGAGCTGGGAAACAAACCCTGGTTGTTTGCAAGAACAGCAAGTTCTCTTAATGAAACTACTGAGCCATCTCTCCAGTCCTCTTTTTTATTATTTATTTATTTATTTATTTATTTATTTATTTTGAGACAGGGTCTCACAATGTAGCACTAACTGGCCTAGAAGTCATTATGTAGACCAGGCTACCTTTGAACTCACAAGAGATCTGCCTGCCTCTGCCTCACAAGTGCTGGGATTAAAGGTATGCACCATCATACCTGGCCTTTTCATTTTTAAATACTTTTATTACATTGATTTATTTATTGTGGTAGGGGAGGGGGAAGCACATGTGCTGTGGTATGCATGTAGAGATCAAGAAGACACTCTCCAGCTGGCGTAGCGCCACACACCTTTAGTCCCGGCCCTTGGGAGGCAGAAGCAGGCAGATCTCTGTGAGTTCAAGGCTACCCTGGTCTACAAAGCGAGTTCCATTCCAGGTCAGCTGGGGCTACAGGGAAACTCTGTCTGAAAAAGACAGTCTCCATCCACCATGTGGGTTTTGGGGATCAAACTCAGGTCATCAGGCTTGGTGACAAGTGCTCTTACCTGCTGAGCCATCTCATCGGCCAACCTTACTGCTCTTTATAAATCTTTATTTTTTAACATATATTTTTTTATTATTAATTCTGTGTATGTATTTGTATCTGTGTATATGCACAAATGAGTGCAGTGCCCACAAAGGCCAAAAGAGGGTGTTGGATTCCCCAGAGTTGGTATGAACTATGCAGTGTGGATGCTGAGAACTAAGCTTGGGTCCTCTGCAAGAGCATTACACATGCTTAACCATTGAGCCATCATCTCTTCAGCCCCCTATACCTTTTTGTTGTTGCTGTTGTTGTTTGAGACAGGGTTTCCCTGTAGCCCCTGTTGGCCTGGAACTTGCTATGTAGACCAGGCTGCCCTTGATCTCACATGGCCTGACTCTGCCTACTGAGTGCTAGGATTAAAGGCATGTGCCACCATGCCTGGCCTATATCTTTATATTTTGAGAGAAGGCTTCCCACTATAGCTCAAATTGGCCTCTAACTTATGGCAATTCTCCTGACTCAGCCTTCAGTGTGCTGAGATTATAGGCATGAGCTATCAACACCTGACCCATTTTAAATCTTACTTGGATCCTTTGCCTCCTGTTTGATTGGGTTATCTCTTTATTGGTTTGGTTTGGTTTGGTTTTTTTGTTTGAGGCCTTAACTCAAGACCCTTCTGCCTTCACCTCCCAAGTGCTGAATTTATCTGGTCTGAGAAAAGTTTTTGTGTAGTCTATACTCTCTCTCTCTTTTTTTTTTCTTTAAGAAAACTATACTCGGGGCTGGAGAGATGGCTCAGTGGTTAAGAGCACTGACTGCTCTTGCAGAGGACCTGGGTTCGATTCCCAGCACCCACATGGCAGCTACGAACTGTCCTTAACTCCAGTTCCAGGGGAATCCGAAGCCCTCTTCTGACCTCTGTGGCATTGCATGACATGGGTGCATCTACCTACATGCAGACAATACACTCATACACATAAAATAAAAATAAATGAAATATTTTTTAAAAAGAAAACTACACTCTTACCAGATAGGTGGTTTAGACGTATTCTTTCCCAGTCTGTACAATGCCTTTTACACTTGACTGATGATGCCCTTTGGTGGCCAAAATAATTTTGAAGTTCAGGTTGACCTGGTTTTTTTCTTTAGTTGCTTGTACTTCTGGTCTCATAGCTAAGAAATCATATCAAACATCAAGTTTGACTCATTTTCTCCTCCTGTGAGGTAGTTTTCATTTGTGGTGGGAGGTGGAAGACAGATGCACTTGTGTATGTGTGTTTGGGTCTCTGTGTGTCTGTAGTTTGCGCAGGGCTTGTCTTGCCACACCTTGGCTGTGACTTTCCACTGTCTCCCTGCCCCCAACCTTGGCTTGTAGACTCAGAAGCCATGAAGAAAGCAGCCTTGGAGATGAAAGAGGAAGAGCTGGTGAGTGAGCGCACAGAAGCCTTCACCATTGCCCGAAACCTCCTCACAGCTGCTGCAGATGCCACTGAGAGGATCATGTCATCCTACAAGGAGGTAGCCCCACTGCAGCCCCTACCTTGACTACCTCCCCATCCCTAAGATGGCTGGGTTGAGCCCGTGTTGTCACCCCCCCCAACACACACAGGTGACAGAGCTGGCTGGCTACACAGCCCGGGTATATGAGATGTTCCAGGTATTCGAAGATGTTCAACACTGTCGTTTCAAGCGGCCAGGGGATCCAGAGGAGGCTCATGCTGCATCTGGGGTCATGGTACGGTCTGGTGTCCGTATAGAGGGGCCCCTGAAGATCCAAGGTAAAGTGGCCTTATTGCAGAGCACTTCCTCTGCCTTCCTCCCTACTGCCTCAGCTCCTCCTATTTCCTACCCCAACACTTGGGAACTCCTGCACACTCCATCCCATCCATCCCTGTCCACCCAGGATTTGTTGCTGACAAGGTCATCGAGGACTTGTATGCGGTGAGATAGGGAGAGTTCTCTCAGGAGGAAGGCTTGCCCAATTGCTAATGCTCCCTTCCAAGGGTGTTGGCCTGGGTTACTGGTTAAGATGGATGGATGGGTTTCTAGGCTCTCAGAGCACGGAATCTCACACCCACACAAAGTACACAGAGAAATAACACTGTGAGAGCTGGGATGTGGCTCAGTGGCAAAGTGCTTGCCTAATGTGTGAGACCCAGGGTTCATTCCCCAGCAGTGCAATAAAAATAAAAGATTTAAATTCATGAGTTATGGCTCATGCCTATAACCCCAGCACTTGGGAGGCTGAGGCTGGAGGACTGCCACATGTTCAAGGCTATAGTATGAGATTGTTTCAAAAAGAAACAAAAGGAAAAAAAAGCCAGGTGTGGTGGCACAAACCTTTAATCCCAGCACTCCTAGGTAGAGGGAGGCGGAGCTCTGTGAGTTCAGCCTGGTCTACATAGTGAGTTCTAGGCCAGGTGGGGCTACAGGGAGACCCTGTCTCAAAAAGACAAAAAAAAAAAAGAAAAGAAAAGAAAAAAGAGATCAAGATAGTGCAACCATGAAAGAGAGTTCAGCCAGCTGTTAGCTCACAGGGGTCAGGGTAGGGCTCAGGCACTGAAGCTGACTTTACGATGGTGTCAGGAAGGAATGCCACCAGGGCAAGAGTAGCCACTCAGTGCCTTAGATTCCGGAGGACCAGAAGGTAACAGCTTAGGTAAGGCATGCTACTTGGTTTGGGAGTATCAGCTTGTTGGAAGACCTTGCTGTTTTCCCATGGGGCCCTGAACCACACCATCCTATTTGGGAACCCATGGGTATGATATCAGGGTAAGTAAGCCTATATCAAGGGAGCAGGAACAGAAGTGGGCAGCAGGGCACAGAGAAGGCAAGGCAGAATGCTATGTACCTCCCCTATGTGTTCTCTCTGCAGGCCAGGTGGTGGACGTGGAACACGGGATCATCTGTGAGAACATCCCCATCATCACACCCACAGGAGAGGTGGTAGTGGCCAGCCTCAACATCAGGGTAGGTCAAGGGAAGGAGTTGTGCCCAACCGAAAGTGCTGACCAGGCTAGACCAAGTAACTGGGGCTAGGGTACACTTCCCAAGTGCCCAGCCACCTGCATCTGTGAGCCCTAGCTCTTGGCTTCTTGCCTAGAGCCTCCTGCTTCTATCTCCAGAGTGCTGAGAATGCTGGGATTAAAGGTGTGTGCCACTACACCCAGATTAAGGAAATGACATTACACTTGGATCCTAAAACACATTCATTTGGTTATAGCAAAAGAAACCATTGGGCCTTGTGCTAGCAGTGACATTGTCCCCAGGTCTATATGGCAGATAGGCCAAGGTCAAGTTGAGAGACCAGTGTGTCTCTGTCCATGAGTTCTAAGGCAATAGTATGAGAGCTGATTATTGGCCAAGGGTTACCTAGATGCTCCAGGACTGATCTTTCATTCATTTCAGCAGGCTTCCTAGAACTCTGGGCTGGGTATTGGAAACCAAAGCTTAATTAGAGAGGGGGCTGCCCTCAAGAAATCCCCAAAGGAGGTGGGCACTAAAGAATTACAGAAGTCCCTAGTTAGACTACAGTCCAAAGTGCAGCAAAGGCCATCAATGGGGTGATCACCCTTGGGCGGAAGGAAGTTCAGGGAAGCTTTCCCCCGAAGGTAGACACAACTGGAGTGCAGAGCTGAGGAACAAAGGGCTGGGGCCTGCCATGTCCCAGCAGGAGAGAAAGCAGGGAAGAGGCGAGAGGAGGTGGAAGTGTTAGGCGTCTGCCTTCTGCTGAGGGACAGAGCCTGGAGAGGAGGAAGAGGACAAGATTCCTGTGAGCCAGTTGAGTCAGGTCACAGATCATGTCCCTAAGCAGCACAACATAGTGGAGTGGTCCCTAGGGCCTAGGGCAATGGCTGATGGGTGATAGATCCAAGCCAGGTGGTTTCCAGACTGGCCCCAGGAAGCCCAAGGAAGCAAAGACACTGAGGCCCAAGTGAGCAGGATGCAGCTGGGAGGAGAGCAAGGCTGGTGAGGCAGGATGGGTAGAACAGGGCGAGGGCCTGAGGAAGCCAGAGCCCTCTTGCCACTCCTGTCTTCCAGAGTCGACGGTTCATGCAGTGAGCATCCTCAGGCTTCCCTAACTAAGCCCCCAGACTGAGCAGCATTAACACCAGAAATGGAGTCCTTTCCAGTTCTGGAGGCCAGAAGTCTAGCTCCAGGGGGCAGGACAGGTTCCATCTTGGGGAGAATGTGCCCCAGGCTTTGCCCAGCTTCTGGTTCCCTGATGATAGTTCCTGGTGTTTGTGGGCTTCTGTTGTGTCACCCTGCTCTCTACCTTCATCTTTACATACCCCTCTGCCTGTGTCTATCCAAGTCTCCCCTCTTTGTAAAGCCACCAGTCATGTTGCGTTTGGCTCACTCCACGCCACTGTGCCTTCATGTTCATTTAGTTAATTGCACCTGCTGCAATGACACGTCACACTCTGAGATAGCAGGGGATAGGACTTCAACAGTTAAATTCAGGGGGCAGAGTCAGCTCATCGCAGTGCCCAGGGTAAAGCAAAGGCCAGGACCTGGATCCTCTTGGGAGCCCTGTGCAGTGTTATCTCTCACAGATAAGGAAACACCCACACTGAAAGAGGGAAAGGAGTAAGAATGACAGTGCTGGGGCTGCTGTGTCGTGTCTGCTACAGGGTGCCCTTCCTCCTCTGTGACCTGAGTTCTCCGGTTCCAGCCGTCAGTGGCACTATGTAGGAGTCTAACAGAGGAGGAACTTCCTACCACTGTTGCTTGAACTCTAATGTGAGCAATATGCTCAGCTACTCTGGGACCACAAGGACCCTGAGGCCCATATCGCTGAACACAGGAGCCATCCTCTGTGCCCACCCCCCACACCTTTACCCTTTTACCCTTGGTGAGGCGGGGGGGTTGGTCTAGAACTGTGAAGAAAGTGTCTTTCCCCAGCAGCTTGTAAAAAAAACACGCTTTCTTTTGAGACTAGGTCTCACTGTGTAGCCCTGGCTGACCTGAAACTTGCTGTGTAGACCAGGCTGGCCTTGAACTCATAGAGAGCCTCCTGCTTCTATCTCCAGAGTGCTGAGAATGCTGGGATTAAAGGTGTGTGCCACGACACCCAGATTAAGGAAATGACATTACACTTGGATCCCGTTGATGGGATCCTAAAACACATTCATTTGGTTGTAGCAAAAGAAACCATTGGGCCTTGTGCCCTCCAGCCATGTTGGGGCCTTGGGGAACAGAGCCAGGTCTTGTCCATTTCCCTATGTCCTACGCTAGGCATTTAGTTGAGGCTCTGGATATTGAACCCCATCCCTGTGGCCCTATAGTCACTAAGAAATCAAAAATGGACTTGGTAGCACACACTATAATCCTAGCCCTGAGGAAGCTAAGGCAGGAAAATTGTGAGTTCTAGGCCAGTGTGGGCAGCATAGCAAAACCCTATTCACCTGCCAGCCTTAGATGTAGGAAGCTTGCTTTTCCTTTCTTTCTTTCTTTCTTTCTTTCTTTCTTTCTTTCTTTTTTCTTTTGAGATAGTCTCATGTAGCTGAGGCAGGCCTCAAGCTTGCTATGTATCCAACAATGACCTTGAACTTATGATCCTCCTGTCTCCACCTTACAACTGCTGGCATTGCAAACATGCATGGTTTAAGTAGTACTGGGGACTGAACCATGCAGTGCTGGGCAGGGATTTGTACATGCTGGACATGCACTCTACCAACTGAGCTACATCCCCATCCCAGATGTAAGAATCTTTCTGAGGCTAGGAAGTATGTCACAGGATATCAGGTTTGGGGAAGGAGAGTAAAGCCCTGAGTGTCAAGGCCTAATGCCTCCACAGGTGGAAGAGGGCATGCACCTGCTCATCACAGGCCCCAATGGCTGTGGCAAGAGCTCTCTATTCCGGATCCTGGGTGGACTCTGGCCCACATACGGCGGTGTACTCTATAAACCCCCCCCACAGCGCATGTTCTACATCCCGCAGAGGTGAGCCAGCCTGTTCTCTGACCTTCCCCCACCTCTTCCCATCTGGGCTATGGGAGAGCCCACCCCTCAGGAGAGGATGCCAAGATGCTGTGCTAGATTCTGATAGCCAGGAGCACAAACTCAGCCTGTTCATTTCAGATCCAGATGAAGGTTCTTGCATTCATGCCCACAGATTTGGGGGGGGGGTGCTGCACACAGTGTGTCCATGCACATATGTGGGAGGGGTCATGTTATTTGGGGGGTACCTGGGTGTGATGTGTCCACTACCTGGAAGGCTTTGTAGCCAGGTGCAGAGCAGCCTTGGGAAACAGGACTACCCTTCCCCCAGTGGACATCCAGCTTTCCCACAGGCCCTACATGTCTGTGGGCTCCTTGCGAGACCAGGTGATCTATCCTGATTCTGTGGAGGACATGCGGAGGAAGGGCTGCTCAGAGCAGCAGCTGGAAGCCATTCTGGACATCGTGCATCTCCACCACATCCTGCAGCGGGAAGGAGGTAGGGGTGGGGCATCAAGCACAGGTTAGTTGCCCTTTGTCCCAAGACCCTGATAGGGAGCCTATTGCCACCCTACCCCTAGCCTCTCCCTCCAGTCCCAGGGGATGAGGGTTATTTCAGTATATAGGAGTCCAAAGAGCCTGCTGGAAGCCCGAGCCTCACCTGGCAGGGAGGACAGGTAAACAGGTAGCTGGGGTACCAGAAGTTTGATCAGGGTACCAGAAACGGGGACTTCTAGCAGGGCACTCATCTCATTGGGTGCTCAAGAGATCATCTGTTGAAAAAGAAGTCTGAGCAAGCCCCTTAGAATCCAGGACAGTTACCAGCTGGAACCAGAGGACAGCAGGGCAAGTTGCAACCAGGACTTGGAACAGGGAGGTCCTGGCTTACAGAGGGACACATAGGATGCTCCTGTGAGAGAGAATGGAAACTCTGAAAGACTTTAGGCAACCAAGCGACAGGTCACTTTTGCATTTCAGCAAGATGGCCCTCCTCTGTGTAGGGTAAGCTGGCCAGGCACATATTTCTGTTTGCACACAGGCACCACATGTGTGACACCCTCACATCCCTCCGGCCAGAATTGAACACCATGGTGACACCTTACCACAGGGCAAGCTAAAGTGTGAGCTTGATTGTATACTGCCACATGCCCTGAGAAAACTTCTAGTCACATAGGAAGGCAGGATGAATGATAGGAGAGGAGACTGCACTTCTGCCCCGCCATCCTGACAAATCGTCCTCCTCACCTGCTCACTCAATCCTCCGAATGCTGCCAAGATGCTGGCACCAGGCCATGAGACATGGCCCAGTCCCTCTGGTAAGGAGCCTCTGTCCTGAGAGACCAACTCCAGCCATCCCCGGGGCTCTGCCCTTGACATCTGCTGCCTGCTGAGGGCTGTATTGGCAGGTTCTTCGCTGGCAGCCCATTAGGGCTTGCATGAATGTCCTGAGGCTGCATGACAAAGTGACACAGACTCAGGGGCTTCAATGGAGAACTTTATTTCCTGGCATTCCAGAGACAGATTTAGGTGTGGCAGGGCTAGCTCCTTTAGAGGATGTGAAGAAGGACACACTTGGGGACGCTCCTCGACTGATGGCCAACCAATTTCTCCGTGCATCTTCATGCCGGCTATCCTGTGTATATCTGTGTATCCAAATGTCCATTTTCTATAAAAGTACCAGTCACATTGGATTAGTGCTTACCCTCATGACCTCAACTCAATTGAGCATGTCTGGAAAGATCCTCACTCAAAATCCTACAGTATTTCTTTTGTGGGGGAAACAATTCTGGTTCATTTTTAGTTACTAGTGTTTCGGACAGGCAGGTGAGGACACAGAAAAGGAGCATGCAGCTGGGCAAGCTCTTCCAGTGTCAAATGTGTCCGGGCTTTTCATTGACCTCATTTTCCCCTGGCTGTCCCCTGACACTCACTGGGCCCTTGTTGAAGTGAGCTGAGCACTTTGCCTCCTGCCCAGGTTGGGAGGCCGTGTGTGACTGGAAAGATGTCTTGTCTGGGGGTGAGAAGCAAAGGATTGGCATGGCCCGCATGTTCTACCACAGGTAAGCCCCAGGGTGACTTTTAAGAGCATTCAGGGCTAGGCGTGGTGGCACACACCTTTAGTCCCAGCATTTGGAAGGCAGAAGCAGGTGGATCTCTGTCAGTTCGTGGCCTGCCTGGTCTACATAGAGAGAGTTCCAGGCCAGCTAGGACTACAGGGAGACCCTGTCTCAAAAAGACGGCGGGGGGGCATTCAGAATGATCTCAACCCAGCAACAGGGGAAAAATGGATACTCCCCATAGGAGCCCCAACCCCCGCCCCCACAGCACAGCAGGGCCATGGGTCACAAGAAATTGGGGCTTGAGGTTGGACAGTGATGGGAAATCCACAGCCTCTCTCATTCGGCCCCCAACCCTAAGGCCCAAGTATGCCCTCCTGGATGAGTGTACCAGTGCAGTGAGCATTGATGTAGAAGGCAAGATCTTCCAAGCAGCCAAAGACGCTGGTATTGCGCTGCTGTCCATCACCCATCGGCCTTCCCTGTGGTAAGTGCTCTTGGACTTGGAGTTGGGGCTGCCACCTAAGGGGAGAGCAGCTGTGATAGCCTCCTGTCCCTCTCTGGCCAGGAAGTACCACACACACCTGCTGCAGTTTGATGGGGAGGGAGGCTGGAAGTTTGAGAAGCTGGACTCAGCTACCCGTCTGAGCCTGACTGAGGAGAAGCAGCGGCTGGAGCAGCAGCTGGCTGGCATCCCCAAGATGCAGCATCGCCTTCAGGAGCTCCGACAGATCCTGGGCGAGGCTGCGGCCCCACAGCCCATGGCAGCCAGCCTCCCAGGCCCAGGTGTTCCCACCTGACCGGGTACCAAGTCCCCAGCCTCCCACTCCCCAGGCTCTCGGATCACATGAAGGAAGCTGCAGCTCCCACCCTGCCCTGCATGCCTTTCCCCTCCCAAGCCTCCTGGCCACCTGCCTGCCTTCCCCCTGAAGACCTCACCCTCAAGCAAGTGGATGAAGGGTGGCATCCTGCTTCCCATATCCACCCAGCCTTCACCCTGGGGTCTGCCCCACAAACTGTGCCCTGTTCAGGGGAACGAGTCCTTTACTTTTCTCTGGGGAGGGGTATGGGGCTTGGAGGCCCTAGTCCTGACCCCACACCAATGTGGTTGAGCCAGGGGAATGACCAGGAGCAGGGACCCCTACAATTCTCCCCTTACTGCCAGCAACCAGAATGTGTGGCAAGCCTGGTGGTTGTGGGCCATGCCTCTTGTGAAACTAAAGTCCCCATCATTCCCTCTTTGGTCCCTCAAAGACCTCATGGTCCATCCCTCTGTTGGCATCTCCTAGGGTGGCCAGTGAAGACCCGTGTCCCACAGAACACCCCTCCTGCCATAAGAATAGCCAAATGGGTCCCAGAGTCAGACAGAGCCTCAAGCATGTCCTTCCCCATGGAAACTCCCAAAATGGCAAGCCACAAGAAGAATGTAGCCCTGTCCATCTCACACCTCCACCTTCTCCTTCTACAATCTAATTTATTGGATTTCCTGTTTATAGCTGTCTCCATTTCCAATGTGAGCACCCTGCCAGCACAGGAGGCAGCCGGGCAGTCCCTTCAGGCTGCCCAGCCTCTGGTGCCACCCCCCCCAGCCTACACTGCCAGTTGCCACTGGGGGGTGCCCTCTGCCTATATGGTGTGAGTGAGGGCACCACGTTCCCAGCTCAGTGCCAAAGAGGGGTCACAAGAGGTGCTGTCTCTGTGAAGCCAGGCCTCACCAAAAGGGAGACCCTCCACTGCCGCTGTGTGCCTTTCCCTGGGCTCTCAGCCCTCTGGCCGGGGTGCCCCCCTCCCCAGTCCCTTCAGTAAAAACCTGTGCAAAGTGCACTCGTGCCTCATGGTCTTGGTGTCTAGTAGAAGTTCAGGGGTGAGGGCAGGAGGTTGGAGGGGGGAGACACCTGACCCCCAGCAGGTCAGGTGGAAAATGGTCTCAGCCACCAACCCCATGGGATTCAAAGGCAAGACAAAGGTGAGCAGTGCCAGTAGCTGACTCAGAGTGCGCACTCTCTAATTATATCCCCATGCTCTAGGGAGATGGAGCTGACAAGCATGCCAACAAAATACTGCCTGAGGCCAGATGACTGAGCTCCTTGCCAGAGAGAAGGGACCCTGCCTAGTCCCTGCAGGAGGAGTGCTGAGACCAGTAGTGTGGAAAGCCTGTGAGCTGCCAGGGAAGGGCATGGGGCACTGAAGGGGCAGATTCTGACCCAAGCCTGCCAGGGCAGGAGGTAAGAAATGATACCAGAACTGAGTTGCACTAATGCCTCTGAACCTTCTAGGAAAGAGAACAGCCTGTGTAAAGGCCCAGGCATGAATCCAGAGCAACATATCCAGTGCACGAGAAGAAAGGGCCTGGATTTAGCCAGGAGGTCACTGAGGACCTCTCTGCAGGATGAGAGCAGCATCAGGTTCTGCCTAAAGCAAGCTGTTTGTGGACAGTTGCTGGAGGGAGGCCAGATCACTGCTGCTGGGAATGGGAGGGGCACTGTGGGCAGCTCTGGAAAGCAAAGTAGAGTTCCCATACTGCCCAGCATTTCCACCCTCACTTCATACCAAAAGAACCAAGAACAGATACCCACCATGTTACTGTTTATTGTTTAGATTCTATATAATATCCAGAGCAGCCCAAATGCCCACTGACAGATAGACAAATGTGGCATGTCCATGCAGTGGAATATTACGTGGCCATAAAAGGCAGTGAAGCAGTAACACATGCTACAATATCATGGACCTTGAAGACATGATGCTGGTCACATATTATGCAGTTCCATTTAACTGAAATGTCCAAAGCAGGCAAATCCACATAGAGCAAGTGTGTGGTTGCCAGGGCTGGGGGTGGGGGCGTATATGGGGAGAGATTGCTTAATGAGTACAAGATTTCCTTTTGGGGAAGATGATGAAAATGTTCTGGAATAACAGAGGTAATGTTTACAAAATACTGTGAATTTACTAAACAGTTGAACTATACACTTCAAAGAGATTTATTCTATGTCATGTGAAATTCACCTCAAAAACAAGTAGGTGGTAGCTGAGTATAGATAGACAGCTACACAGATTGCTATTAAGATAGAGAATATTGGCAGGGCGTGGTGGCGCAGTCCCAGCATTCAGGAGGCAGAGGCAAGCGGATCTCTGTGAGTTCATGGCCAGCCTGTCTACATAGTACGTTCCAGGCTAGTTGGAGCTACAGGGAGACCCTGTCGAGAGAGAGAGAGAGAGAGAGAGAGAGAGATGGTGGATTGATAGAAAAGCAATAGGTGGCTCAGTCCTGTTATCCCAGGACTCAGGAGGCTGAAGCATAAGAATTGCCATGGGTTTGAGGCCACCCTGGGCTACACAGTGAATTCCAGGCCAGCTATGGCTAGGAGTTCTATCCTATCTCAAAAAAACAGAAAGACAGATTGGAGAAATGGCTCAGTGGTTAAGAACATTGGCTGCTCTTGCAGAAGAGCAGGGTTTGGTTCAGTTCCCAGCACCCACATAGAGGATTGCCACAGTCCCTAACTCTAGTTCAAGAGAACATGATGTCTTCTTCTGCCCTCTGAGGGCAATGCAGGCACATGGTGCACTTACATGTAGGCAAAACATAATTAAGGAGGCTGAGGCATGACAGCCAAGTAATTTAGATAACCAAAAGAATACATTCACAACAGAAAATGTCAGGTGTGCCTAACAAGACAATGTGTAGAAGCTGGGAAATGTGGAGGAGTGAAAACTAAGTTAGCAACACAGCAAACTTTTACTAAGTGATTGGAGAGTGCGGGGGTCTCTCCCTCTCTTCGTGGGTCGTTGGCCACCAGCCCACGAGGGCAGGGAGAGCAGAAGCGATGAACGGGGTCAGGACGGCCAGTGAGCACTGACGGAAGAAAGCCCTTCCGGGGAAGCTGGTCCCAGGCACAGTGAAACAGCAGTGATACAGCCCCAGACACAGTGAAACAGCTCCGTTTATTCAGTGGGAGAACTAGAGAAGTTATAGTGTGGAGGCAGTAGCCAAAGCCTCAGCTGATAGGTGCTCAAAGTATGCTTTATTTACATGTGGCAGTGGGCTCCTATCTTCCAGACTATCAGGCAATGCCTGATTATCATATGGAAAAAACCTGGGGGTAGTTTTTACTCCAGGTAACTATGCCGAAGGTCATGTTCCAAATAAGGTCAGGCATCCGTGCTTGGTGGCACTTTCCAGGTAAGCCAGGGAGAGAGCAGGAGGCCCCCTGCTGAAAAGAGGAGTCCTTCCATTTGGCCCCAAGCCCCTTAGGGCTATCCGGACATGGAGAACTACAACCCTAACAGCAGGATTTCCCAACTGGAGAGGCTAGGCATGGTAGCACACGCCTTTAATCCCAGCACTGCCTTTAATCCCAGCACTCGGAGGCAGAGTCAAGCAGATCTCTGGGAGTTCAAGGCCAGCCTGGTCTACATAGCAGGGTCCAGTCCAGCTGGGGCTACAGGGAGACTGTGTCTTTAAAAAGACCAAAAAAAAGTGATGGGAGGCACCCAAGGGTTGTGCTCTCAGAGGAAAGGCACATGAGGTTTTATAAAAGCCAAGGCAAGAGGCCTCAGAAGAAACCAGTCCTGCCAACATGATGGTCTTGGACTTCCAGCCTGAACACCTGACCACTCACTGTTGAAAGAAGCAATGAGTGTAGATAGCCTTGTCTCCTCCTGCTTACAGAAGAGGAGAAGTAGTTGCCATGGTGTAAGGGTGCCAAGAAAGGTGTGATGCAGGAGAGGCCTCTGGCAGAAAGGACCATTGCCTTCCACAGGCAACTAGAAGCAACCAGCCAGCCCTCTTATGAAAACCATAATGTACACATGAATCAAAGCTAATCTGATGAAAGTTCTGTAGGCAGATAAGGAGAACAAGTGGGGTTGGACTATAGTAGAAAGAGCGGGAAATTAGCTGGGTGCGGTGGTGCATGCCTTTAATCCCAGCAGAGGCAGGCAGATTTCTGTAAGATCCAGGCCAGGCTAGACTATATAGCAAGTTCCAGACCAGCCAAAAAAGAAAGAAAGAAAGAAAGAAAGAAGAAAGAAGAAGAAAGAAAGAGGAAAGAAAGAGAAAGATGGGGAAATTATGGGGATTTGGGAAAAGAAAAAAAGAAAAGAATCCCTCACTGGGGAGTATTGTTGAAGCCTCTTGCCAGATGAGGAGGAAAAATTCCAGCATAATTAACATTTGCTTACGGCTATTTTCCTTTCCCTGCTATAAACCTGCAATTTTCTAGGAAGCTCATCAGAAACCCCCTTTACAGCAAAGGACATGTCATAAACCCTCGGGGTTTAACTTCTCATTGTTTTCTGTTTTGTTTGTTTAGTTGGGGGGGGGGAAACCACATGCCACAAAGCATGTGTGGAAGTCAAGGGACAACTCAGAGGAGTTGGTTCTCTCCTTTCTCCATGTGGGTCCTAGGGTTCGAACTCAGGTCATCAGGCTCAACAGGCACCTTTACCCACTGAGCCATCTCATCTGCCCAAGGGGCTCTTCATCATATTATAATCTGATCCAAATTACCTCCAAGCCACCCTATAATCCCACTTACAAAAAGGAGGGAAAAGAGAAAAGAAAAAGTTTCTTAGCAACCCTTTGAGGTATAACTTAAGAGCCACAAAGATGATAATACTTGATTGTTAGTCTCTTGAGAAGCCTGTACCCGCACTTGGGCATGTCTTATTCTTTCCCTGAGTGTCTCTCTCCCTCTCTCTCTCTCAACTCCCATGCTTAAAAATCTGTTAGCTAGGCGTGGTAGTGCACGCCTGTACTCCCAGTACTCGGGAGGCAGAGGCAGGTGGATCTCTCGAGGGCAGCCTGGTCTACATAGTGAGTTCCAGGACAGCTGGGGCTACAGGGAGACCCTCTCTCAAAAAGACAAGAAAAAAAAATCTATGTTAAAATGTACTTTAATAAACTGTGGATGGAGTTGGACGTAGTGGCGCACGGCTTTAGT